ATAATTATGTCTTTCTTTGGGATGAGGATCTTGGAGTTGAGTATTTCAATCCAAAACAGTAAGTTGGCTGCAAGTTTGTGGATAAGAAACAAAGCTAAGAACGTGATAAATGTCTTCCGACCAGCTTCATTGTTCTTCTCCCTGTTTCATTACAAGGTATGTGCATATTATTGGAAGTGAAGGGCTAGAAATATCGCAACCAGCACTTGATCCATATGAATCGGAGGTGCACCATCAAATTACTGCACGTGGGAGGCGATCGACCGTGCACAGGTCTTCCCCTACTCTTGTTTTGTATTAATATTCATGAGAGCAAGAATCTCGTAGCTTCTTTACTGGGTAACTGATGAAGTAATGGATATGTTAGGAATTACAGACCTTCATGATGGTATGATATTGTCCTTTTTGAGCATAAGCTCTCGTACCAATGGAAATGTATTCTTTACTTATAAACTCAGGATCAACCCACTAATTAGTCGATGTGGGACTCCTCTCCCAACCATCCTCAACAATCCTCCCCTCGAACAAAGTACACCATAGAGCCTCCCCTAAAGCCTATGGAGCCTTTGAACAACCTACCTTTAATCGAGGCTCAACTCCTTCTCTGAAACCCTCTAACAAAGTACCTTTAATCGAGGCTCTGGTACCATGTTAGGAATCATGGACCTCCACAATGGTATGATATTGTCCACTTTGAGCATAAGCTCTCGTGGCTTTACTTTTGGTTTTCCAAAAAACGTCGTACCAATGGAGATGTATTCCTTACTTATAAACCCATGATCAACCCCCTATAGTCGACGTGGGATTCCTCTCCCAATAATCCTCAACAAGATAGTGCAGTAACTCGATGAACCAATAACTCACAACATGTTTTCTCTGGGTATTGGACAGTTCCTGGGGATCCGCTTAAAGATCTTGGACATGTTTTCTCTGAGTCATCAATCATTGACATTTTGATCTATGTTTTATGTGGTTTCATCGGTTGTTTACTGTTGTATGTTCTGTCTTTGGTCGGTCACTCCTGCAGGAGAACTTTTAAACATAGTAATGGTGGAAAAGATTGTGATGTCAACAGTAAAGCTCCTCCATGCACAGGGTAAGGCAATTATCGAAAGCTCTATGCTTAGACAGCTGTTCTAGACATGTGCTGAAGTACAAAGTGTTTGTGCCTGAAAATGGATATCTTTTGTTGCAGATGGATAGAAATGATGGCCCCGGTTTTCTCCCGAGCTGCGTGGCGTTGCGTTTGGTATATGATCCAGAATGATTTGATCCATGATTGGGGCTTGGATATGCAACTGGGATATTGTGCACAGGCAAGAGTTAGCAGTCATCTTGTTTTCCTTAAATACTTAGCTGCTGTTGTTTGAAACGTCGAGCTCTTTCCTAATAGGGTGATCGAACGAAGAACGTTGGTGTCGTTGACGCCGAGTACATAATCCATTATGGACGACCGACACTTGGTGGTCCAGAGGAAAATGAGGTTGAAAATATGATAGTTTCTTTTCATCTTTCTTAAGCCTCACGAACATCAAATCACAAAAGGTTTCTATGTTGCAGACATCTTCCAAGTCTCATGTAAAAGATCATAGAGCCGATGTAAGTTTCCGCACACGTGCTCGCTTTCAGTTGTTTCGATCGAGTCTAGTCTACCTTGTTCGTGCTAATGAACCTTTGATAACTCGGAGAATCTGATCAAATAACCCTTTTAGGCTTATGATCACAATGTTTAAAACAATGTCGAGTCCATCTTTATTTCCCTTGAATTCAAATTCATCCGTGCAGGTGAGAAGGCAGTCGTATATTGAACTAGATGTATTTAGAAAGAGATGGCAGAAGGCTGCTGAGCAAGACGAGTGCTGGCAAGATCCGTACGCTGAGACAGTAGAGGATAACACATGATAATACGATCGTTTGACGAAATGGAATGATCTTGTAACAGTGTACGTTGTCGTTGAAGTTGAGAACATGGCAACGTACATGCCATTGGTATTCAAGGACGACGTGGAAAGGGATGATCGTGTATCAGCAAAGTATGCAGCGGAGATCTCTACGTGAAATCTCGGGTACGAATTCTAATCTTGTTGTGGTGTTCTGTATTTAAAATGCTGTAAAGTTTCTACTTATGTTGAAATATGTTGTAAGTGTTACTTGGGGTATACCATTTAGAGTTGCATTGGAAAGAGAATTTAGAGTAAAGAAACAAAATATTCTCTTAAGTTCAAAATGAGAGCTGCTTTAAAGTGCATTGAATTCCGAACATCCTATCACAAACTATCTTTCTAAAGAAATTTCGTCCCTACGTATTACAAGTTTGTGTCTCGTGCTCTTTAGGGATCAGGGGCATATCCAACGAGAAACTTGCTACCGTTGTTGATGGCCTTGTTCCTAGAAACAATATACTTTCAAGAAACAATGAGATGCTGCCTTGATCTTTCTCTATCTCGAACCCCAAACTCCATAATAATGGTAGAGTAAGAGGTAGTAAGATTGTCTTGACCCAAAAGCAGATACGGTCCGGTATTCCCTTATGGAATAGCTTTTTGTGGGTAAGGTGATGTCTTATAAGGACTAGCTCTTCCGAGGTCAAAAGCAAAAGTACAGTGGACCTCACAAAGATCACTCCGAATTTCACCGTTTTATCCCGTTTGATTTTGGGATAGGCAGCTAGTACTAATCTAATAAGTGAAATCGTCGTTGTTCGAGCAATCTACTTGGACACGATCTTTTCGATACAAAATTGAAAGTTTAGGTTTCTATTAGACATAACGTATAATTTCAAATAGACCAATCCCTTTTTAAAAAATTATTATTACTTTGTATTCCTTTTTTACCCTTCAAATTCAAATTTATTCCTTTTGGGCCCTTTACAACTGGTTCCCACTCCCATTGCCAAAAGATAGAAGAGCTTCAGTGTCCATTTTGAAGTGCAGAAACTTTAGAAACTACAAATATTTTAAATAATCTTCAAGAAAGAAGGCAATAAAAGTCATCCACTGGATTGCTTTTGCTTTTTCAAAAGCATATCGAAGAGCCACGAGCCACGGGCGGCCTGTTCGTGTTTGACTCGTGTCAGTCAAACACTTGTTAAGTATACTAGACAGTACCAAATGCTTGTTAAGAACAAATAAGATAAGTGTTAGACCCGTGTTTGATGCGACAGTTTTCTGTGTATACTCTGTTGCTTTAGGGAATAAAATAAACGACTCGTGTCCGAAGTTGATAGATAGAACAGAAAGAAGAAAAAAACTAGAGCAAAGAATTCGAAACTCGAATCAGTAAAGCCTCTCATTATATATTCTTTAATGGTTTTTCTATTCTCACTCTCTCGAACCCGAGTCGAGGGAGGGGTTGTTCAATGTGTCCTCCCTCGTGTTCGTTTTTCATTCACAGGTCTAGAAAAGAACATTGACAGACTCATGTACAAGGTTTACGACATGGATAGAATCAGCACAATACATAACCAAAAATTGCTCAAAAGGGTCGAGTTAGTCATGCTCAACAACTCGAAAAAGAAAAACCAAACTAGAATCTAGAAAGAGAAGTAATGTGATGGATATGTAGCCTAGCATGGTGTAATAGCCCAAGCTCACAGCTCATTACGTACCGTCATCAGCCTCACGGTTTTAAAATGCATCTACTAAGGAGAGGTTTACACACTCTTATAAGGAATGTTTCGTTCTACTCTCGAACCGACGTGGAATCTCACACATGGTCAAAAGGCATAGTGTAATCATCAACTACATACCAAGTTGATACCAAATATCGTATACGTGTAGATGTATGTATGTACACAGGTAAATATCGTATACGTATGGACGTAGTAGCTCAACAAAAAAGGGTCCAAAGGGCAGAAAATAAAATAAGGGAAACAAGTCAATAGTTAGATGTCCTCAAGGCATCACATGGGGTGTTGCATCAAAGACAGAGGTGAATTAGATTCTTCAAAACACTCTTCTCTAGGCACTTCATTTTGACATATTTGAATGCTCAACGCTATGAGTCCCGAAGCAGACACCGAACGAATTAAGAAACAGATGACGAATACGATAGCTTTTACTCTCGAAACTATAAACGAAGTTATACCACTCTAACTCTTCCAACCCCTTAACTCGGCCCTCACCAAATAAAAGATTTGGATATACACAAAACAAAAGAAGCTTTTTCTTATTCCATTGTTGAAGAAAAGGAGAGGAATTAATTGGTTGTCTTATCAAACCTTGACTACTAGTGTTTCTTTGTTCTTTATTAGGACGCTCGGCCCCTTAAAGAATGGATTGTGCGACCCCACATCGATTGGAGAGGGGAATGAGTGCCAACGAGGACCCTGGGCCTCGAAGGGGGTGAGTTCTAAGATCCCACATCGATTGGAGAGGGAAACGAGTGCCAGCGAGGACGCTGAGCCCCAAAAGGGGTGGATTATGAGATCCCACATCGATTGGAGAGTGAAATGAGTGCCAGCGAGGACGTTGGGTCTCGAAGGGGATGAGTTCTAAGATCCCACATCGATTGGAGAGGGAAACGAGTGCCAGCGAGGATGCTGGGCGCAAAAAGGGGTGGATTATGAGATCTCATATTGATTGGAGAGTGGAACGAGTGCCAGCAAAGACGCTGGGCCTCGAAGGGGATGAGTTCTAAGATCCCACATCGATTGGAGAGGGAAACGAGTGCTAGCGAGGATGCTAGGCCCCGAAAGAGGTGGATTATGAGATCCCACATCGATTGGTGAGGGGAACGAGTGCCAACGAGGACGCTGAGCCCCGAAAGGGGGTGGATTGTGAGATCCCATATCGATTGGAGAGGGAAATGAAGCATTCTTTATATGGGTGTGGAAACCTCTCCCTAACAAACGCGTTTTAAAACTTTGAAGGGAAGCCCAAAGATGATAATATCTGCTAGCGGTAGGTTTGGGCTACTTCAAGGGCAACGTGAACGGGAACCCTCTAAGTTCATCAAGTAAGCAACACACAAAGAGGGATGAATCAACCATCAAACAAATATACAATGAAAAGTAACATGAATACTTGAATAAGCCAACAATTTATACAATAAGAACAAACATAACTCACTTCATGAAACTCTATACATCATCTTACAATGCCAAGGCTTTCCCATATCATTTACCATCTAAACATACTCAACAAACGGCAGCAACAGCTCCATTATCAAATGAAAGCATATTTCCTAAAGAACAGCAAAAAAGAGAAGAAAAAAATGGTAATCAACCTCACAATCCTATCTTCAGGAACGGCCACTTTCTAAGATAAAACCTGGAACTAAGAGGATTTGGGAGACATAATTCCATTAAAACTATAAACAAGAAAAATTTCAGGAGAGATTCCTTCAAATCAATCCTTTCCTTTCAAGAACAGAGCAACACAGATGATAAATGACCCTAAAATCTAAGGAATAACATCATATTCATGCATAATATATAGGCTAGATGTTGCATCCAAAGCAGTTACAGGATTTGGGAGTGAAAGAACAGAACCCAAATGGCCTATTGGGGATATTGCAATTGATTGCATAGCAACAAGGAGAAGGTAAACAGAGGCCCTTAGCACCTCCACAGCAAGTACAAGGAGCACATACTTGAAAGCTTCCGAGTCTTCTTCTAGTTTCATTCATCTCCATGATATTAATTTTCCCCTCCTCGATCAGTGGCACCATCTCTGATACAGACCCAGTTGGCTGATGAACAACAAAATCAAAAACGTTCATCAAATTGAACTCAGAAAATGAAAATGGGATCGATGAATTAAAGGAAATGGTGAAAAGTGAACTCACTTGATTGAAATTTAGTTCGTTCTCAGCCGCTAAAACGGCGAGAAACAGCAAAAGAACGAGGGAGAATCCAGCGCCATGGCTAGACATCATGCAACTCGGAAGGAATTGGAACTGTTGAACTGTGCGGAAATGGGGTTTTGGGTTGAGATCGATTTAGAACATGAAATGGGTATTGAGAGATGGGGTTGAATTGGGAAGATGAACTTGGGAGGGATTGTTAGAGATCTTTTCATATAGAGGTTTTGGAAATGAAGGGTTTAGAGGAGAGATTTTGATGGTGGTAGCGTGTGAAACGCGAAGCCCATTGCTGGAATTGATGGAATTGGCGGAATGTCTTTTGATTTAACGTTAAAAAAAATGGGAAATCTTCGGTGCTTTGAAATGGGCTTTCGGCTAAGTATGAATGTGAGAGATGTGATTATGTGAAAAATATGAATCAGTGGATTTCTTTGCTTTAAAACGAAGCCATCCGACATCATTAATCAGCTGTGATTCTGGTCTGTGAGCCTTTGAACCGTAAGAAATACATTATTTTACCGACGATTATCTAATTCTTGAAAAAGACAGATTCATAGTTATTCTAAGCATATACCATGGACGAACCTAGGATGATATGGAATGGGATGAACACAAAAGTTCAGAAACTGAAATAGAATTAAAGCCTTTTTTGCTAACCTCTTAATTTTTTTTTAAAAAAATTGATATAATTTTTTAAAAGTTTCTAGCTATTGAATGTTTGATCTCTGTATAAGAAATTGAGTATTCAGGTATAGCATAGTACAGGTGAACGTTTTGGAGCTTGGCTTTAGTAAACTGAACTAATAAAAACAGAGTGCTTGATAGTGATTTCTTTCATTTGGTAGGATGATGAAAAACTACTTCAATGACAGATCTCGAGTGTGAACTAAAGAAATGATGGATAAAATAAAAAACATAGAGGGTTTTAGTCAAATCATTCAATTAATGTTTTGTGGTGTCATGTTTAATTTCCTTCCAATTTAGGACTATGAAGTTAATCTAAATCTTGAAGCAAGTAATCCATAGAGTTACCTTAAATGTAACCCATATTGGACAAAAATCAATGAAAGAGTGACCCGAGATGTCTAGAATAGTTACCTTGTGATGGTGACTTGAAACAAGGCAATAGTGATAGTGACCTGAAACGAGATAGATGTCTATAACAATTACTTTGAGACAGTGACATGAAATAAGGTGATAGTGATCGAGTCGCTTGCTTCCTCTCTTGCCTCAACTCTCTCTTGCTGTTCGAGCTGGAGCTGGAGCTCAAGCGACTGCACTTCATCTCGACTGTTACAAAATTGAAATCTACGAAACCCATGATGAGAAGATGATTATTGATTGATTGAAGAGCCAAAAAGGGCATAAAAATTTGGGGGAAAACAGCAAGCGTTGTGTTGTTTACAAGAATTTAGAATCCCAAATTTGAGAAAGGTTTGGGAGAAATGAGAAGAGTTGTTCATAAATAGGGGGAAGAACAAAAAACCGACATCATCTGCTGCAGATCTTTTTATACAAAGCAGAAACATAAATTCAGAGGAATTAATCATCTGCTGCTGCGCTAACCATATTCTGAAATGCATTTTCAGAAACACAGGATCAACTTTACATGAACCCTCCTCCCTGTACACATCTTTTTTCCAGCCAGGCATCATCAATTTACACAAATACCTCTCTTCTTTTTATCTTCCAAAAGATTGTAAAAGGGGTAGTAGAAACGACTTACGACCTTCAGCCCTCGGCCTCGATGTTTTCATCATCAGATGACATCTCTCGTGTCTCTGTGATTGATAGTCGTCTCGCCTTTGCAGATCCTGCTTCGACTAGCCCTTCAGATGACAAACTCAGTGCAGTAGTTCCTGATGACGTCCCAAACAAATGCTGAACTGGGGCGTTCGGTGTTGACGCTGCAGAGAGATTGTATGCGAAGATTCCCATAGGGTGATCGAACTTGCAGCTTGGACCGAACTTACAGATCCCATAACGCGAATAAAAGATGCACAAAGGCTCTCCCTGTTCATGGAAAAACAACATTCATAAAAACCAGCTCTCCTCATATTAACAGATCATAAAAATAATCTAACAATAATGCAGAATCACCATCAGAATTCTGTGTAAAAAAACCATAGGACAACCATCATAACTCCTCAACATGGGTTAAGAAACATGCTTGAATCAAAGCTGGAAAAGGGTTTTTTTTTTTTTACTGTAGATCCATATATTGCTTAGGAAATTAGAGAATCAAAAGTAGTATCGTAACTCACCGGACGCAACGGTAGGCCAATTGGACTCAAGACACAATCTGGAGCAGGAATTACTCGTTCTCTGGGATGATGAAATCGACAAACGGCACCGAACTTGCAGTCTCCGGTCTTCATGTAAAATTGACATTCAGGCTGGCCAGGCCTCTCAGGAAATACATTCTCCCTCTGCAATGCCAAAAACCGAAAAAGGTTAATTAGAACATATCAGAGAAGAGACTACTACAGATCCTGGATCTAGTCATTCACTCTGGTGTTAAGCTTCATAAATCTGAGTATGTCCCCACCGTTTGTTGTGGACTTTCTGATGATGAAACTGATCCTAGCTGATCCTGTAAAAATCACCACCTTATGAGTAACTTCGCTGTGAACGGTTAAAGAATTCCAAAAAGAAGCGGTATAAGGATGCCAATCATAGAACTATTTGATCCCTTTGAATTCCATATTCGAAGTTGCGATCGGATCTATTCATTAAAAAGAATCGGTTCAATACATTTCTTATGTACCCATAGGTGTTATATTGATTCGAATCAGATTTCGGATCAATCTATATTGTTTGACTGCCTCCATTATGTTGTTGCTAGCAAATACCATTATTTTTTGTTTTGGATCTTCGAAATCATTCCCGGGGTATACAAAACTCGAGTACAAGTGATAGAACATATTAACTTCTATCACTTTCCATGTTTTCTTGTTTCCTTCTTTTGGTTTCTTGATAGGAATATTAACTCGATCCATCGACCGCAAAGGTCTTGCAAGTTGCCCATGAAACAATGCAACATCAACATGGAAAAAGATGTCTTAGGAAGACTCATTTAAACATTCAAATCAAAAGGAAAAAGTTAAAAGAATAATTTTCTTCTAGGTAACAGACATTTCCATCGACTCGTATTCCACAACACTCATGCATTGAATAAAAACAGAGTAAATAAACATGACAGCGTAGATCATACTTATTCGAACACGGGAAAGGAATAGAACTTACATTGAATGTATTCCAGCCTGGAACAGAGAGAACTCCTTGAGGTAAAATTAAAGATGCATAACTGGAAGGGCCTTGCCATCGTGGACTAGGAATAAAGGAAGCCCTTGACCAATTTGTGCTTCCTCCTGGATACGACTGCTGACCAGGAGTTGGCGATTGTACGGTTGGATAAATAGGGGAGCCACGCAGTGAGACCATCATATTAGTCGGTTGAGGATGGTGGAATTTACATGTATTTCCAAACTTGCATTGTCCAGTTCTTAAATAATAAGCACATTCAGTTTCACTCTGCACAATTGGGGATGTGGGGGAGAGGGAGAATGGACAACAAATATTTTTAGCATAAAAGCACAGATAAATTGACAAAGGAAGATCTGAACTTAGCAAGTTGGCATGTCAAACACCATTTTTGTTGTTTAGCTGTGTTCTTAATTTCTATTTGCACTTCAATAAGCTGTGTTTAGGTGCCAATTTCCTATAAGTTTTCACCAAAGAGTTAGTCTTCTAGTTTTTTCTTCCCTTGTAACTTTTCATTGACATACGTGCTCATCTTAACGTACATATGCATGAGAGAGAACAAGAACATACAAAAACTTACGAACTGCACAAAGCGTGCTATGAATATAAGAGAGTAGTTATATCCTAACCGGGCGAAGTGGATAGCCTAAAATATTTAAGGCAACTCTTCCAGCAATCCCAGCCTTGTCTCTAGGATGATGAAACTTGCACGTAGCCCCAAACTTGCAAGTTCCTGTCTTCAAGTAGTACTGGATTATGCGCAAATGAAAATGTCATTTCATAGTCAACAATTAAAGTTCTTATAAAACCTGCAGCATCCAAGAAACTACAGAATGCAAGAAAAATAATCTCAAAGTTAAATTACCAAAGCTCCAATCTAGAGATTCTAGACCCAGCTAAACAATATGATATCTAAGCCAATCAAATTTGAAGGATAATTATATACAAGAGAGCTCATTCTTCTAAACCAAAACTTTACGACGAAAATAACATTTCAGATCGTTATATATACGGTGGGTTTGGTGTAAATTAGCCACATTTCATCACTGAATCTGATGAAGAAAATGAGCACATCCCATATGTCATAATGAATAAATGTTGAGAGAAAATTTACGAGGCATGATGTAACACGCTAATTTTAGATAAGTAAAGATAATTAAATAAATACATGCCTGACATTCTGGTTGTCCAATTCTTTCCGGGAACTCCCCCTTCATTCTCGCGGTGGCAATAGCCTGAAAGTAAAGTGTAGTAAATCGACTCCGTCACAAACTGACTTGCAAAACTTCCAAGGAAGAGATTCTTAACTACTATAGATGACTCCATGTTAGCTTCAAATAGCAATCAAAATAACGAGCAAACGTATTTTGTGTGTTTTCTAGATTAAATGGAGCAAACACATTATTCAGGGAGAAATTTCTGATGCCCTTAGTTCAGCACATAATCAAACAAACAAAAGGATCGTACTCGAAAGGGCAAACCTGTTCGGAAAATAAAACAATTCCCCATCTTGGGCTTCAGGGTTGTACAGTATAAGGTTAGGAACAATTAGGTTATTAAGTTAAGGTTAAATGCAATTTTACCATTTATAATTCCCTTCTCTTTTCTCTATCCCAATCAAATTTAAGGAGCTCAGTACTAGTTCAGTAAGCACGTTCGGAACAGAAAATGACAATACAACTCTATATGAACCTGATCTTGAACATAATATCTTTACATCTATCTATCGCACAAGCTTGCCTCCATGGTTACGAACCCAATTTTTTGTGGAGAGATTTAATTGATTGTGCCAGCATAATATTGCTTAGTGTCTAACCTGCTGCTCATAGGTACATGCCCCAAATCAGATAGAATAAATTATTCCCAAAGGGCAGAAGGAATTGAAAATATTTATCATGATTTTATATTTGAATATAATCAACCAAATACTGAATGGATCACATTTTTGCTTAGTACCAGCTCTCTATTAGGTGGATGATTAAATCTACATGTAGCTCCAAATCTACAGAGGCCAGTTCTGATGTAATAAGAACAGTCTGGCTCTCCAGGTCGCACGGGATAAGATCCAGATCCCATTATTTCACCTGATCCCAAGTTCATTTGCCAGAGTGCATCTGTACGATATTGATAAGTAAATCT